CCTACTTACATTGCCCCACAACAATTTTTAGGTTGGACCCTTTCCAACTAAAGGCAACCAGCGTCTTTTGGATGAATCTGGCAATCTACCCCCGCAGTGCAGCCCCACGGACCCATCCGAAAAGATGAAGAAATCGTTGAATGTTCCGGAGTTGATGGATGACGCAGTGCCCAGCACCATTGCACAAAAAATGGTGAACCTCGTTCCAATAAATATCATCAACATTTTTACATATTCAACTGAAAAGTTCCACAGGGATCCAAGGGGTATTACAATACTGTTTAAATAGTATATACGACAAAGTGTTTTAGCACCAAAGTTCCATGCCAAACAGAAACCGACACTGATCATTTCAAGAGGTTATCAAATGCTGTCATCCAGCCCCAGTTCTAAGGACCTGCATCGAGAAGCGGGTGGGCAAATTGAACGATCTCCACTCCAAGTACGTTGAGTCAGGAGTGGGCTTCTCTGAAATCCAGAACAAGTTTCTTTGCGAAGTCATCCAAATCAAAGATCTTCAATCTTAGTAGTGAGAAATCCATATTAGCTTTGGTCAGGTTCAAGGCCCCAAATCATGAATGCTTCACTGATGATACAATCGCATAAGGCTCCTTGCCAAGTTGAAAGATGAGACTACTGCTTTGACCTCCTACATGGCCAAGATTACGGACATGTTCGCTAATGGGATCGTGGAGGGATTCAGTGACAAGTCTCTTGCTGGCAATGTTGTGATGTCTGAACCCGATGAAAGTGTTCCAAAATTTCCAGACCTGCTACTCGCTGAACACTTCGCTCAGGGATGAGCAGGATCTTCGGGCGGCCTATGATGATGCAGTCAAAAAGTGGGGACCTCAAAATTTGTATTCTTTCACCCCTCAAGCGAAAGACACAGTATATCCTTTGTTAATCTTTGTTAAGGTGCATCTTTACCGTCGGACTGGAGGGCCGCATGAGGCAGGGTAACATCAGTCAACGGGTTTTTCAATTCCATCGAATCACAACACTGCATCAACCTTCACCCCCCTTCTACCCATCATCGCCTCCTGCCAGGCAGGTGATGCCGAAGGTCCCATCTGCTAAGCCTGGCAGGTCCGAGGGGGCCCCTGCAGGGGATGGATCAAAGCCTCCCCGGAAACGCGCAGCTGAAAAGGCAAAGGCAAAGGCCAGTGCCAACAAGCGAACCAAGAAGTGATTGCTTTCCAAAGGAGGGCACTTACTAATCTGAAGCTTTTTGACTGACATGGGCATCAGTTTGACAGTTCATGACTCATGACTCAAACTTTGGTGCCAACAGTCTGGAAACAAATCCGATATCGGGTTTTTCTGAGCCCCATGATTCAGAAATTGCGCTTGTCTCCTGTAGGGGTCTTGCTTGTTTTGTTCAAAGCAAGCAGCAGGGGAACATCTACGATTGGCCGAGTCGCTAGGTTGAAAAAAATGCTCAAATTTCTGCAACTTGTTGTGCGTGATCTTACCCAAACCTGAGGTAGAGTGTGGTGATTTTGGGGCATCCAGAAACGATTGATCTTCGCATGTGGTGACTCGCATATGCCAGGTACCAGCCGTGACAAACAAGCATCTCTGGAAGCTGCAGTTGAAGCTGTGGCTGATGGAGCTGGGGGCTAAGGGATAACCGCTCAGCCTTGCCTTTTCTTGAAAACTATTTCCCATAATTATACCTTTCAGATTCCTTGAAAATCATGACTGACTAAATGGTCAGCTAGTGATGTGCAACAGGTGAATAGAAATGGATGTTCACCTTTTTATGTTTATTGGCCCACCACCGCCGGGCAACGAGGCCACTGGTGCCTCCGTCTTCCGCATTGCAAAGGCGAAGGCAGATGATCCAGGCCTTCACAAGCGGTTGGGCAGAACTGCAAGCAGGTCTGCATACAGAACCATGTCAAAAATGGGTTTGAGGTGGGATATCCCCATTTCAGAAGTGGTCTTTCACACTGACGTTGGGTTGGAGCTGAGCATCCCATACATCAAGCCCAGTGACGCCCTGACCTACATTTTAAGGAATCGTCCCGAAGTAGTCTTGGGTGGATTCACATCCCTACCAGCTGGGGCTGACCTTCTTCACGGCTTCTGGAAAATTTACCGTGAATACCATGGGTCACATCGGGTGTTCAACGATTATGGAGAATCTTTGCAATACTGTCTTCCTTTTTTCTATATGGTGATGAAGGAAGAGGTCGTCGCAGGGGTAACACCTCAGTGTTTGTTTTGGAATCACCATTTGGGGTGGGCTCGGCAGAAACAGCCCAAACAAAGAAAAGAAGTTGCGCTTGCTCTTGCAGTCCTGAGGAGTCATCCACTAAAAAGTTTCGTGCTTCTGACGGTGGTGCCATCCCAGTGAACAATTCTTGCTATGCATTGCACAACTACAAGGAAAACAGTTTCCTGACGAGGTTTCTATTGTTTGCCTTGCCCTGCTCGACTTACAAGGCTTTTCCAGATTTGATTCCCTTCCTGCTGGACTTGATTGCCAAGGACCTAAAGAGGCTTTACTTTGAAGGCATTGATGTGTGTGGTCGGGCCTTCACTCCAGTGATCCTAGGCCTGAAAGCTGATACCAAGTATCATGCCTACATTGGAAATTTTTCCAGGTGGTACAGCAGGATGGGAAGAATTAGAGACAACCACAACTGTCACGAGTGCTTGGCTGGGGGACCTGGCCGTCCATTTGAAGACATCGATGATCACCCAAGCTGGGAAGCAACCATGTTCGTGCAGCGACCTTGGCCACAAAACAGTGAGCCACCGCTGAGTCAAATACCGTATGACCGGAATGCACCGGAACGTCTTTACAAAAGAGATCCATTTCATACGTGCAAAATGGGATTGTTTCGGCATTTGGCAGCATCAACTTTGGCTGTGTGTATTCTGTGGGGATACTTCAACGATATGGAATCACATGAAGGGAACAGCATTCCTATTCTGATCCAAAGGGCCTATGGGCATTTTCGCCTCTGGGTATGTACCTTCAAGAAAACACCAGCTTTGAGAAGCTTCTCCAAGGCCTTGATGTGTTGGCCGAACCTTTCAACATGCCCATGGTTCAATGTCAAGGGTTCTGATTGCATGTTGATTGTGAGATGGTTGTGCGACTATATTGGGCAGGTATTACTTAGTCCAGAAAAGCCTGCTCATGTCCCAGTCCTGACAGTGATGAGGAAAACCCTTCAAGCAGCAAACCAATCGTTTGACTCAATGAACTCCCATCGTTTGCTACTGGAACGACGTTGTGCAATTTACATTTACGAACAAATGACCATGGTGTTGAATGGGTATGCTTGGTTGGCCCGGTGGTGCCTAGACAATGACATTGCGGCCTTTGCCATGATATACAAAGTTCATGCTTGGAAACATGAAGCGCTGGATCTGTTCCAGGCCTTGAAAGACATGGACCGTCGGTATTTTCTGAACCCATTGGTTCACAGCTGCGAAATCAACGAAGATGTTGTAGGAAGAGTTTCCCGGCTAAGTCGAAAAGTAGACAGCCGGCTGATGGAACGCAGGTGCCTACAGAACTACTACTCCAAATGTCACTTCCTGCACAAACGTGCCTTTCCCGACAGGCACAAAGCTTGAGGTCCAGACATCACATCCAGAACCGCCATAGCCGCTGAAAACAAAACAAGAGCATTTGGGCCAGGCAGTGAAAAGTGACGATGATTATGATCATTAGGTATTGTTCCATGTAGTTTTGATCAAAAGCATGGTGATACCCTTTGGTTGTACTAAATTCTTTGGATTGCAAAGTATGTGATCCAACTTGATCTACATTGATCCAGACAACGGCAGCTGGGCTGCAGGCTTCCGGGGCAACATCGCCAATGAGATGAAACGCCATTTATTTATTGAAACGTCATTTTTTGATGAAGCGACATTAATTTCAGGAGTTTGGGATGGCGGCAGAAATTTGGCACCACCAGGTACCACCGGTGCTTCTAGGTATGTATATATATATGATATAATCTGCATATATATATATATTTATTTATATATATATATATTTCTACCAAGACCTTCCAAGGGGCTACGTTTTGGAACCCCTATTGAGTGTTCTTTAAGGGGCCACGTTTCGACACCCCTTAGCGGAACCAAAAAAACACAACAGGATATGGTGATAACGATGTTGATAGCACCATTTTTCAGAGAGATGGTTGGAGACGAGCTGAACAACAAAAACTTTGATTTTGGGAAATTCCGACGCGCAAATGACACGCGACTCCCTGGTAGAGACACCCTGCCGACAAGCATTAAGGGGTGCCAAAGCGACACCCCTTAGCCTAAAGGGGTGGCGTTTTCGCACCCCCTGCACATCCCTCCGACACGCAAATGACAGGTTTGACACGCGCCATTTTTATCCATTTTTGGGTTGCCCAAAAAAACTCAAAAGCATTGCTTCCGTGGCCTCAGATAACAAAGATGAAATGTATATCCCAGATGACCCAAAACAGGTTGAGAAACACCTTAGAAATAAAGGGGCGCCATTTTGACACCCCCTCCCTAAGGGGTGCCATAACGGCACCCCTTGGCATGTGCTGGTATATATATATATACATCTTATTAATAATAGCACTTACAAAGTGGAATGGACATGCAAAATGACGGGTTTCTTCCGGTGACGGTTTTTCAAGATGACCGGTATACCAACGTCTTCTATTGGGGTCTCCTTCCTAAATTTTGTCCGTACTGGAACTTGAATCCTGAGAAAACATCACCGTGAATGGCTTCTTGAAGAAAACAGGCATGAAAAACTGCACGTTCCCATGCCGACAAGCACAGCATGTTTTTCATGCCACCGACTGGGTGAATCTGGATGAATTTTGTGGATGTACTCGTTCCATATGTTTTTCTTCCTCACCTCGCATGACATCATTCGTTTGCCACCTTGACTGAACATGACTGAACTATGTTTGGCGCATTTTGGCGCTGTCTCAAACGACACGAATCTCTTGGCACAAGATTCGACAGCACCCCGGCCTGAGGAAAGAGGTGTGCTAGTCGGCTACTCAGATCCTTGTGCCGATGCCGTCCATGTGTCGTCGATATAGGCTGAATTTGGGTACCCTCTGGTTTTTTAACATAGCCATGGAAAATGCCATTTATAGATGGTTTACCTATTAAATAACCAGATGGTAAATGCACTTTGGGCTCAGCTTCCCAATGGAATAAAAGTCCCGTTTTATTTTGGAATCAACAGCCCGTAGACAGCTTGAGGTCTAGTTTGCACTATGGTCTGCACATTTGCCAAAGTCGTATGAAGCACTGTAGTTTCATGCTAAGTTCCAGACTTCCAAAATTCCCAAAGATGAACATGTCAAAGCATCGTTGTACATTAGATCCTCCCCGGATCCCGAAGCAACCTCCAAGGTGCATATTGACACAAATACGCGCAAATACATGCACACATCAGACATCAATTTCAATATATCAGATAGATTTGCGCAGAATACGTAAAGGAATTCTTTTGTTGACCTACATCTTTGCAGACGTGTTTATATAACAAAGATGCGACTGTAAACAAGGCACTTTTCCCCAGTCATTGCGAGGAGGGCAGCGTGGCTTTGCCTTCGGAGACCCTCGAGGAGCGCGAGAAAAATCGGGGGTGTCAGGCCTTCACTTCAGGAAAGTGTCGAAATCCGGCAACGACAAGATGCGGATATGGGGATGCAATAGCAATATCAAAACATGACTGGCTGGTGGTTTCAAACATTTTTTCTTTTCCATTTCATATATGGGATGTGATCCTTCCAAACGGACTTTCATATGTTTCAAGATGGTTAAAACCACCAACCAGATGATGTAACCAACAATCTGATATTTTGAGATATTTGGAACATTCACCATGGATGGAGATCGGTTCCCGGACAGGAAAGCCATGGATTTTTACTCGCTAGGCGTACTGGAGGATATTGGTTCGGTGTTTCTATCAATGGGGGACCCCCAAAAAAATCCAAGCTACCCACCAGAAATTTGAAATAGCTATATAGGCGATAGCGGCTATGGAATTTCGCCCATTTATAGATTATTATAGATGATTTACCTATTTGAAATAGACATCATCCATAGCTATGTGCTGCTATGTTAAGTTACCAGAGGGAAATAGGACAATTATGACAAACCATGGTGGTTTGGAGATTCGTTGGCTGTACCACCTGTGTCAATCACACTCAGACTTCAGCCGGTTTGGATCCTTTTGGGTATTCCAATCTCTTGGCCATGAGGAATGGCTCCACCCAGAAATCAAGGTGGATTTTGAACGTTGCAGCTTGGCCACAGCCTGCGGATCCCGGTGTGTGTAATGAACGTACCAAACCAACTGCAGAAAGTGGGTACACTGCCGAAAAATTGAACCATGAAGATGGTTTTCCCATAGTCCAGCCATTTTTTGGATTCCATGTCGGATTTGGTCAAACGGCTCCAGAACGGCTCCATTCTCATCTCCCTTGGGGGTTTAATTATATCATTTCCCATAGGATCCATGTCTGCTATATATGGTAACATTTACCATCAATATACCCCCAATGTTAGCATATATAGCATACATGGATCCTATGGGTTTTATATCGAAGTGCTAGATTTACTCGTGTTGTCCGGCTCAGGTTCTCATCGAGCAGCAGAGGTGGCGTGGGACATGTTCTGGGCATGTTGCGGGTTGCTGAAGATGCTGAAGTTCCTGAGATTGTGATTTTGCATTCGCTTCCACATCTCCTAGTTTCGGCATGCATTTAGCTGAATTCAACATGTTCATATACGTTCATCATATTTCCGGAATGGGTTCACAGAAAAAAAGATAGGTTTTAAACACCATGCGTTTTTTCTTTCAACGGCTACTCTTTGATTTGGCTTTCAGCATTGTGCAGCCCTGCCTCATGGTTTGATGAGTTTCCAGGTCGCGGGACACTTGGTTGACACCTCCAAAGAGAGGTTGCCAAAGGCACGGGGCGCTGGGGCTGGGAGCGATGAGTTGATGCCTATTTGTTGGTTTTTTTTGGAAGATGTTCATGGTATGAATGCCGAACATGATGAACATGGCTATCAAAAACCATCAAAAACCATCAAAAACCATCAAAAAACATCAAAAACCATCAAAAACCATCAAAGCATCTGAACTCAATTGAGGCTTCACGTCTCTTGAAGCCTCCTCACAGTCACCCTGTCCATCCGTACCGTTTGGGCTGCAGAGTTCGTTTTCTGCGGGGATGCGCGGTCATGGGCGATGATTCGGACAGCGATTTGAATCTAGAACGGCCGGCCAAAGGGTCCAAGGCGAAAGAGTCCAAGCCCAAAGTCGAGGTCAAGGATGGGGCCATGCAGAGCCATGCAGAGGGGGCCATTTTTCACATGAGATCATGATCCGAGTTTCGGTGAGCTGAGCGTAGCTGAGCTATGGCTATCCAGATGTATTCAATGTTCCCTAGTATAACCACATGGTAATCATAGAACTGGTTGGTGGTTTGGAACATTTTTTATTTTCCATATTATATTGGGAATAATCATCCCAACTGACTTTCATATTTTTCAGAGGGGTAGGTATACCACCAAATCCAACCAGTCATGGTATTTATTGTATCAGCCCTCGTATTGTCCATGAAGCACGATCGAAGTATCGAAACCCATGGGGGATCCGGTCTGGCGAAAGAAACCCCATTGCACGATTGGGTGAGGTTTCAGATGCGCATTCTTTAAGGGCGAACCGAGTTTCAGATTTGTGGAAAACATTGACTTTCCTATTGTGTTTTCTATTGTGTCCTTTTTTGTTATAAAATAGTGATACCGATATAGCCAATTACAACGCCATATTTATGACACAAAAATAGGTGCACACAACATAGATGTTTATATATATATGATATACACAACAAAAGTTAGAAGAAAAATGTACACATACCATCTCAACAACCAGCTTATGCTAAACACATTAATATTTCATAGTGTATCAAATATTGGCCATGTTTTGACCATCTCCCTGCAGGAGGTGGAGAAGAGGTACTCCAAGCCCAGCAAGAGGAAAGAGGAAAGTCATGACCCTCCAGACTCGGACAGTGATTTGAATCTGGAGCGAGCTCGGAAATCCAAGAAGACTAAGATGCTTGGAGATGCATGTTTGGAGCATGTTTTTTGGGTCAAATGGCCTTGGGATGGTCAATCATGGTCCCATCAATAGGGATTTGTATATACCCAGAAATTTCCATTCTGAGATGGCGATGTTTTTGGTAATTGGTTCACCATTTGGGAGAAGTTAAAATGAAAACCGTTTTGATGTTTTATGACCCTCTGATACCCTCTCAGGCTCCACCATTTGGAGAATCCACTATGACATATGTATGTGAATCCATGTGTATGTTGTGTATGTTTCATGGCTTTCAATCCAAGGAGAGAAGATGATGATGACTTGCTTATCGACCGCTCCCGGCCCAAAACGACCGATGTCAAGAAGACAAAATCCAAGAAGCCCAAGGCCCGCGACGCGGAGTCAGAGGGCAGCGACCTTCAGTTGCAACGACCCAGCAAGAAAGAGATGAAGGCAAAGATGGAGAAAGATGCACCGAAACCAAAGACCAAAGATGTGAAACCTCCAGATTCGGATGCTTATTTGGGTTTCAGATTTGATTTTGTCACTTTCCATTCCGGAAACATGGGAGGTCATATCCCATCTAATGAATTTTACTTTCAACAATTTGACTTCGATTTGACTTGACCTTGGTGGGTTTAATGTCCCGGTCTCTTTTTGGGGTTCAACGGTGACAGTGGAACCACTGGTGGGCTCGGCTCGGCCAGGACAGTGACGTCCCCGTGCGGAGGAATGGGGCGGCTCCCAGTAATTTCGACAGGGTGGAACCCTCCCGAAGTCGCGATGCAGCCTTCGAGAGCTTTGGGAAGGGCAAGGGCGATGGCTTTGGTGGCAAGGGTGATGCCTTTGGCAAGGGCAACTGGGTTGAGTTTTCAGCAACGTTTAGCATGTTGCAATGGTCCAACTCTAATCAACTTCACATCACAATTCCATTTCAAATTTGCCCATTTTTTCCTGTCAGTTGCCTCCTTTTCTTCTTCGAAACATGACCTCGACCCAGGCAAAGATGGGAAGGGCAAGGGCAAGGGCAAGGAGGATCCTGATGCCCCACCCAAGGAGCAACCCAATTTTGAGCCTTCGGGCCTCTTAGCTTTGGAGGACAACGCCAAGAATGGGATCCCCTTAAAGTTCACTGTGCCGGCCGAGGCCCGCAGACCGGCCACCAAGTGGCGCTTGTACGTCTTCGCCAAGCAAAATGAGGGGCCGAAGATGATCCACATCTACAAAAATGTGGCTTTCAGAAGACCTGACAGAACGTTTGTTTTACATTTTGAAGTTTGGGGTGTTGACCTTTGGCATGCAAAGACCCAATGGACACCAATGGGTTACAAGTTTTTAACACTTTTTAACAGCTATTTTGAGATTACATACAGGTGGTTGGTTACGGTTTCATGAATAGTTTGTACATCCCTATGTTTGACACCAATCCATAGTGGCTTGGCACGAAGGTAGGCTACCTCTTTGGCAAAGACCGGCGTGTCGTGGATGTGCCCACCGACCATCCCACCTGCAGCAAGCAACATGCAGTGCTCCATTATCGTGTGACCACGGGGGGCATCGTCAAGCCTTATATCATGGACTTGGAGAGCGTCAATGGCACCTTCGTGAATGGTGAGAGGATAGAGGCCGCCAAATATGTAGAGTTGCGCGAAAAAGACGTGCTCAAGTTTGGAATGAGTTCCAGGGAATTTGTTTTGCTTCACGGAGGTTCTGCCAATCATGTGCCCATTGATGCAAAGGATTTGAAATCAGACTCAGAATAGGTTGGGTCGTTTGCCAATGACGTAGCTGCCCTTGGGCGGGTTTCACTCCAGAGGGGAGCCAATCCAATGAGCAAAAGAAAAGGCAAACGGTGCTGCTCCATGGGGATTTGTTAAAACCCAAGGATCCAAGGCGACGTTTCTGTTGGACTTTAATTATTATCATTATATAAATTATATATATATATGCATATCATATCATCATATTATGTTTATTTACCAGCCAAAATGTTGTGAGGGCATGTGATGCTATATAATATATTTATATATATATAATATCTATATATATATATATAGTCGATTCCAGTCGTGGAACTTATGGGAGACATTGGGAGGCTCAAATCTTGGACACACCCCTTGCGAAGATTTACGAAGGAGACTGCACACCTCGATGGCTTAATATCTGAAATCGGATGTCAGAATGATGATGAATGATGTATGTACCTCAAAAGGATTGTTTTCCCACGCTGGCCAGGATTTGGGAAATCTATAAGGAATATGTGTTTTGTTTGGTTCGGAATTCTGATGTTGATGTTCTGTGATCTCTGCAAACGCCCTGAGTCTCATAGATGGCCCAAGGTCGTTTGCTGACTTCTCTTCTTTTCTATGTTTCTGATTGTGTTCTGTTTGTGGCAGTTCATCCGCACTTTTGAAAATGCAGCACGAGGAAGATCGTGGAAGATCGGCTTGGAACATGAGTTTCCTTCTGGATGCTGTTGTTTTACAGATTTGTGTGAAAATTTCAGGGCGATGTGGGTGCTCATGGCATTAACTTTGAATCTCAGCCACCTAAAATCGCCCAGCGAGAATGACCCGCGAAGCCGCTTTGTGTCATATGAACTGGAGTATATTGATTTCATCGATGTAAAATTCCAAGAAATTGAGTTTGAAGATGAATTCCTTGCTGTACATTTTTTGAGATTCCATATTGAATTTCAGAGGCATTTTTTTGTTCAGCCTCATGCGGCCTCTGTGGAATGCCAAGGCCTCTCCAAACAAATTTCCATTTTGGGCTGCAATGTCCTCTGCTTCAAGGAGTGTTTTGTTCGCTGCCAGGCAGACTCCCCAATCCTCTCCAAAGCTTCAGCAGCGGAAGACGCGGCTACCATTGCTGCAGCGCGTACCTTCCCTAGCTGGGAAGTCAGTGGACCAACCCTGCTCGGGCGGTTCTTGTGACCAACAAAAATGGGGAGTTGAAGGGATTTCATTGTGACACTGTCAGAAAACCTTATGGTTGAACCAAGTAAAGATGTGGAGTTATCGAAACTGATGGTGAATATAGTTTCCCAATGTTTGCCACTGTTCATTGCCATGGAGGCACTCAGAGTGTGCACATACATAGGTTTTTGAGGCTTTTTGTGCTTGTTTGTTGCAGGATATCTAAGATGATTGATGTTAGAATCGATTATGTCTCCTTGCATTACCTGTGTTCCCGTACTGTTTTCACATCAGTTCACCAGTAACATCCAGATTCACAGCCAACACAAAGCGCACAACTCATTTTCTTGCCACGCGGAGGGTAAACATCGGTGATGTTTTTTAAAATGAAATCAGCCAATGGAACTTCATATGATAGGGATTCGGAGGTAACACCCCCTAATAAGATGGCTTTAAAAACCTTAATATGAGGCTTATATGAACCACCAAAACTTCACCAGCTTTTCCTGGGGGTGTCATCTTAATACGGAGATCCTCCGCATGAAGTCCATGGTACAATCCGCGGGCCCAGGTGCAAGAGGCGACGGCTGCCCACTGACCACCTGCACGTAGCAAGATCTGTCAGTTCTACTTGAGTTTAAGAGTCTAGTTTCAGATCCTGGATTTGCTTAACATGATATTTTGCTTTCCCATAAGGGGAAATTCACCATTTTTTCGGAACCTATTCCCAATAAATTGTTATATTCCGTATATTTTGGTATGGCTCTCCGTAGTTTGGTACCGCTACAGGCAGAAGCCCGGCAGAGATTGGAGCCGAAGCGAAAGAGGCTGGCCTCTGTGTTTCTACTCCAGCAGTGGGGTTCAATCCTCAAGTTGTGGTATCTTTTGGTGGTGAATTCTGGCCAACAAGGAATCATCCTAGATGAATTTAAGCCCAAACTCAGCAACTCCCTTGGGACTCTGCAAATTTGTTCCCTTCCGATTGACGGCGACCTTAGCCTCACCCTGAAACTAGCTACTGGAATTAGTTGAAATGGATTCTGATTATTCGCGTGTTTATTTCAATGGTCTATTCATCTTTTGGGTCCGTATGGCTGGTATTTCACAATATATAGTCAAATGGGAAATCGTTATTCCTGCCATCCCACCAACATGTTTTTTTCCTCCAAAACTGGTTGATTCTCGGGCTCGCGGGGTCTATAGTAAATCCAAGTTTTAATATGATATATGAATATATAATATCCTCATTTCAGACACCATTTGGAATGATTACCTTGGAAGAAAAGAAAGCAATGATTGATTAAGATTTTCCCAAAAACTAGGGGCCTTTTTGGTGCCAGAACTCTCTGGCAATTGCTTGCGATATTGATGTATCCATCAAGAATGTAGATTTTCCAGTCCACAAACTGTACGAAAATCCAGGGTAAACCCATAGTTTAAACTCTAAAACTGCAATTTTTAGAGTAGTGGCCATCAGCAAAACTATCATGTAAAATTGGTTAAACCTTTAACTACCATTTAAATTGGTTAAACCACCTTGTTTCATGGTTAGACACCCCCTTGTCTCGGTAAACCCAGCATGGTATCCCCTCGCCAGGCGATTCTGGCCCTCGGCAGCCACCAAGCGGCCGCCATGCACTTGGCCGCCAAAGCGGCAGCCAATGTGGCCATGTTTGAGGCCGCAGGGCCGTTGTAGCTGGGGTGGCCAGGGGTCTACCCCCTGACTTGGGGTGGCTAAGTGAAGTGAACTAAGCGGTTACATAAGCAGAGTTGTAAGAGTATACCCAGATGCTCCATGTATAATTAGAATAATTATTTACCTACATTTGCGCCATTTTTGGGGTAAATGTAGGTAAATATTCCATACATGGAGCATCTGGGATACTTATGGTGGTTTGAATCGCATGGTTGTACCTGCCAATGACCACAACTGCAGCCCCAAATAGTTGCCGGATCCAAAGTATAATCAGCGAGTTGGATCCATGTGGGAGCTACAAAGACGATTGAAATCAAAGTAAAGATCCCCCAACAACATTTAAGCCACAAATTGGAGTGGATTCACCATTGGGAAATGGAATTGCAACCCAACTTGTAGCTGGATAACCCCATTTTAGGGACCTTTACACCAGGGCCAGCTAAACCGGTTGCTGAATGCGGCTGCAACTTGGGCAGTTGGGGCTATGTCACTTGCTGTCTATAACTACACACTTGTGATGTGCCATGCATTAGTTAAATAAACATATACAGCTCAATTTCCCATGATGTTGTCACGTATCATGAAGTGGATTTGTCGCTCTTCACATGTTGGTGCAGCGCGCTGTCTCGCGCAGCCTGTCACCAGCCTGCCACCACCAACCTCCAGGCGCAGCGGAATTCAAAATCTCCCCGCGAGATTGGAGCTGCTGCAAAGGTGCGTCGAGATCCAGTTGGGGTGGGCTGGACCCGGATCATGCTGACCCTCCAGCTAAAAATGGCTTCTGGCATTTGCGCGGGCAAATGCCAAATGCCAGATTAATATGCATTGATCATTTTGGGGGGCCTGCGATTTGTGATAAACACCATAAACGCATTGAACATTTAAACACCATAATGTCAATGTGATCAACATCATTTTATGAATAGGCGTTGGCTCTAGTGTGGGTAAACAGCAATGAATCATCCCCCAAACCATCGTAAATATATATTGAGGTCTGCCCCCGCCCACTAACAGTTCAAAACTGCCCCCCTTTCATAAACCACATACCAAAAAAGCACAATCATATTGGTGGTAACTCAGGCCATTTTAGGGGATCCTTAGGGTCTGCTTAGGAGAAGATGTGATCTAGGTGGGCCGTACAAGTAACAAAGGGTGGAGTAGTGAATGCAACAACATCACTACCTTTCAGGTGGCATTGTTTGTGGTTAAACCATTTAAATCATTTTAACGAACATCCTTTTGTATTGCGCCATATTGTTGGAGCCATCAGGACATGTTTGCTGAACTTGTCATCAACTAGCCAAAAAATCAAAGTATCGATGTTGCTGTTGATATCCTTTGATGGTTGGAACGTTGGAATGGTTCTGGGAAGTCTGACAGCTGACATGATTTTGTTTATCTGAATATTTGTGTGTCAAATAGCAATGGCAATAATATGGTATGATGATGCAAGGTGTTGCATCGATATGATGATACGATACTATGACTCATGACATTCTTTACAATATTGAATGCAGCATACCTGAGATACCGAGATACTGCAATCAAACGGTCCAACCATTGTAAGTTATAAGTGAAAAGCGTTACAAAGGCGTGCCTCCAACAATAGTTGTTGAGGTTCTTAATAAACATCATATGATAATTACATTTTTTTTCACATTCCCGCTCCTGGCATGGGCTCACTCTTGAGAGTTTTTTTTGGAAAGGAGGTTGGAAAAAAGGAAATGGTATGAGACATTTGCCGGGCCGCTGGTCCGAAGGCTGTCGAGGCCAGGTGGCCTGAGATTCATTTTTTCCAGAGAAATTGTGCTTTTTTCGTGCTTTTTTCGTGCTTTTTTTGTGCTTTTTTGTGCTTTTTTTTGTGCTTTTCCGGCGCTCCCGAGCACAAAAAAAAGCACAAAAAAAAGCACAATTCATACCACAAAAAAAAGCACAAAAAAAAGCACAATTCATACCACAAAAAAAAGCACAAAAAAAAGCACAATTCATACCACAAAAAAAAGCACAAAAAAAAGCACAATTCATACCACAAAAAAAAGCACAAAAAAAAGCACAATTCATACCACAAAAAAAAGCACAAAAAAAAGCACAATTCATACCACAAAAAAAAGCACAAAAAAAAGCACAATTCATACCACAAAAAAAACAC